CAGCAGGACAAGCGTTGCAGACCATGCTACTCTTTTATTTGCAGAGTCGTCTGAAGGAGGCTGTGCAGTTGTTGGAGGATTACAAGCATGGGACCTTGCCCCCAGGAGTCACCAACAAAGAGGTAAGAGAAAAAAGCCTTTGGTTAAATTTCTGCTTCTTCCTGCAGTCTAACGGAGGGAGGATGAGGTGGCATTTTAGGCTGTGTCTACAGTCAAACGCATTTCTGCAAGGCTTTTTCGGTATTTCTACTGGTAAAATCCCGTACCGGCGCTGTTCAGTTGATCACTGACTTCTGCAATGTTGCTTCTGGTCCCTTGCAGCTCAACTGAGTTATAGCTGCAGTTATAGTGAATTTGGGTTGTTCTGAAGTTCCCACATTATAAATGTTGCCAAGCAGAAGTGATAGCAAGGGGCTTGCAATACAAACATACAAGGTTTTTATTTAGAATAAGTAGAAAGTCTGGGGTTTCGGGCTTGCAGAGTTATCAATTACCTTTTGGCCAACACTATTGCTTCCCTTTCCATTGCAAAGTGTGCTCATACAATTAAAAAAAAAAAAAGTAATTTTCTTTTTTTAGCTGAAGGAAACCTTGCTGTCAGTCCTGTAGGTTCTTGTACCACCAATGGTGATGCATCAGCCCCCTCTCCTACTGTGTTCCTGTTGGTTATAATAATTGCAGTTTCTTCACTGAAATAAATGTTGTTTGGGCTACATATAACCCCCTGGATGTCCTCCTGTTGTAGATGATACCATCAGTAGTGGTACTTTTTGCTGGGTGATGTTCCTACTGTTGGGATGGAAGCTGAAGGAGGTTGTGGAAACCCCACTGATGTGAAGGTCTTAGCAGGGTTTAGGCAGTTGCCAATAAAAGGGTCGTTTTTGGTAGAACTTGATTCTGCTTTGCGATGGGCTGGGTGATCTCTCCCAGACCCTGTCAGTCCCGTTTTCTAGACTTTTGTCTGATATTTATCTATATGAACGCATAAAATTGTGAAAGCAGAGATGAATATTGCAGAGGGGCTGGACTGCTTTCTGAGCCTTTTACCTCCAAATCAGTAGCATGAAACAAAAATCCCCCATTTTTTCCTGTGGGTATTATCTCAAACTCTTTTCCTTATCTGTCCATGTGCAGATACCTGACCATAACACCGACACAGGGGCTTTTTTGCAGTGCGTGTTTGTGCATCTAGCACAAAAGACTTCAGTCCTATGTAATTTAGTGTAATATAAAGAAGAGCATGAAATGATTGGCAGACCTGCTTCAGGAGCTATAAGAAGCGGTCGTGCCAAAGGACCAGCGCACCTCCCAAGAAAATAGTGATGGAAATGGTAGAGAGCTCTTCTCCCACACCCTGTAGGTCAAATAACCCCTTTATTTTTTTCCCCCCATTTACCTGCAATAATTTCTTCTCATGAAAGACAAGTACAGCAGGTAAATGAAGAAAATTGAGATTTGTATTCACTTTTGAAAGTGGCTACTTGTGTGGTAGGTGCTGTGTTGGGAAAGAGGCATGGTTTCAACAAAAAATAAATGGGAAATACCCCCTCCCTGCCTGATGTGTGGTACGAGGCATTGCTCTCCTGGTCTTTTGATGTCACTGCAGTCTTTCAACCATAATCTGATGGTAAGAAAAAAGAAACCGGGGTTGAGGAAAGGAGAGAAGCAAAGAATGATGCAGAAGCAGATGACTCAGTTCCCATCTGCCTTCAGGCAGATGAAATACAAGTCATTCGCTGTGGCAAACCACGCAGACTTTTGACCTACATTTTGGGTGTGCGTAGTGACAAACCTAGGATATACCCAGAGTTCATTCAGAATTGCATTTAGAGAGAGCAAACAAAATTATTGCACTTCTTGTTTCCCTCAGTCTTGACAACGTATGCAGGAGGTGAACCTTACTATGCAAGTTGGAGGGTTTTGAGTGTAAAATAAAGGTATGGGGCGGAGGAGGAAAGAGAAAATGATGCCAAAAATGCCTTTCCTAGAGAAATGTTAGCACATCAGTGTAAAAAATATTTTTTATAGTGAAATCTTGACACAGTTCACTTTGATCACAGTGTCAGTTATGTTAGAGGGGTTTATGTAGTTTTGCTGACTGCAGGATAAAGTAACTCTCCCAGGAGGAGCCTGGGGTGGAGTTGCAGCATGTGCTTGTTATTGTGTTTAACGATGCTTTGCTGCATTAATGAAACCAAACCACAGGGAGAGGTGAGTAAGCCCTGGGTAGATGCCACCCAAGGCTGTGAGACTTGAATGTTCACCCATGATACTGCAACCCCTCTAAAAAGGGTAAAGATGGAAGGCGCTTGAACGTAGATGACAATCTGTGCTCGGGCTGCAGCGGGACAGGAGCAACCACAATTATGAAGCAGCTGAAGCTGCTTTGTTAACCTGGAGAAAGGCTCCATGAAGCCAGCAGGTCCTGCTTCACTCCTGGAGCTGGCTGGTTGTAATGAAATGGGAAGGTGGGCTTGCAGGGGTAAACTGGGCAATAAAAGCATCAAATGCTGTTTCACACTCTTGCGATCCCTTTGGGTGAAGGTGAATGGGAACTTCTGACTGGGTTAATTGGGAGCTTCCCAGCGTGGCATGGTGGGCTGGCCAGCTCTTGGGCCATGATGGTGATATTCCTCAAGGGACACCTGAAAACCCTGAGTTCCTTTTGTCTGAATGCTCTTTTCTTCCAAGTGTGCTCTTGACTGGACTTGAATAAACTACGTGCTTGCGTATGGTTGCAGTGAAGCAGGTGAAAATCTTCCTAATGTGGTTGTTGGTCATCTTTTGTGAGAGCATCATTATTGCCAAATGGGTGAGTATCTTTATCCTCTCAAGCAGAGCTACCAATTTAGAAACAAACTTCTCCTGTAGAGGGGCATTACTTTGCAGTTTTAAGCTGTGGAATTGAAAACTGCAATTAATCATTGCAGTCATGGATATTCTTATGTGCTTTTCTCTTTGCATCAGAGGTGATCTTTGTAGTCTTTTATTGGCATTAGTTGCTTCCATCCCCTGGGGCATCTTCTTGTCATGCAGCTCACATGGTATCATTCAGCCTTTGTGTTTACCGCTGTGCTGCGGTCACAAAATAACGCTGAACTTTCAGCTTTGGCAATGACAACCATTTCTACCAAAGAACTAAAAGGCCTAGGTGATCTGTATGAAAATAGGGTTTCATTGAATGCTGAGGTTGTGGTGACATCAGGCGTTGGGTACTTCTCATATTGATTAGCCAAATACTCTCCTTTCCTTCTCTGAGATGGAGAGGAAGCTCTAACAGTAAATCTGATGGAAACAGGGCTGTGGTTGCTGTCTCTGTGTGGAGGGTGTAGGGATGGACGCGGCTCTCGGTGTGTGCCATGAAACTTGCACTCTGAGCGTTGGTTGTTTTCTAACTCCCAGGGCAGAGGGGAAGGTGGAGGGGAGCGTGCGGGGAGATCTGGGTAGTTGGCAAGCTTGCCAGTGCTGAATTAAATACGTGTGCCAGATATATACAGCTGCAAGTGTCTCATTAATTACTGGTGCATTTGCAGAACATACGATGTGCCGGTTGATTGCTTTGGGGGAGGGGAAGCATCTCACTTGCATAGATACCACCCCAAATTTTCTACCGGTGAACCAAAGATGCCCAGAGAATACATTTCTGCTTTCCTTAAGCTAAGTTTTACCATTTTGATGGCTTTTCTGTGCACCCCTATCTGCAAGATGGACTCTGGCTACAAGACATTAACAATTTGCAGTTGTTCTAGTGCTAATTTGGGAAAGGGATTCGATGCAGCTCTGGAGAGGTGCCTGCCCACTGTGACTCGTGTGCATGGGTTGATGTTGGAATAAAAGACTGAGCCGTCTGATGCTTTACATAGCTGATAACTGAGTGTCACACACACCTCTGATGCACTGATGAAGTTGTCACATGCTGGCAGAAGACCAGCAGATGAGAGGCAATTTGATTTTTGACTGATTTTTTTTTTTTTACCCCTCTTTGAGTGTGAACAGAGCTAATCACCTCGTGTTCACCGTGGGCAAGAAGTGTGTACTGGAGTAGTGACTTGGCTCATCTGGTGTGGTAACGCAATTGTATCTGCAAGAGGCTGATTTCACTATTATTACTCATCATAAAGGCTGGGTAGAACTTCATGTGATGCTCAAGAGAGAAGCACTCAGCTTTATCTTCTTTGTTTAAGAGCTGATTCAGGTTTGGTTGCTAGAGCCCCTTAGAGATGCAATCGCTACCCTTATAACAGGCTCTTCAGGCATGGTTTGGGTATGGCACGTGCGTAGAAGAGATGCCTGAATGGTCTTCTAGGCTTCATATTCAGAATTAAAATCATGATCACCTTAGAAGCCTTTAAAAATAACAGTCTGGGCAGAGTTTTTAAGCATTAGCTTTCTAAGAACCCACCCCCCCCCTCCCCCAAATATCAGCTTTGAGATCAAGAAGACAAGTTGTTTTGACAGAGTTGTTTTACTAATCTCCTGACTGATCCACTTTTTTTGTACGGCGCATTTGACAGTGTTCAAATTCCTTTTTTTTCCCCTCATTCAGAAATTCGTGGTTCTCATGAAGGATGGCAGGCAGTAGCTGAAAGCATAACAACAGCTCAGCACAATCTATATTGCTTGCTGAAATGGTTTCACCACATGAAAAATGGAAAATATAAAAGCCTAAAGCTATGTAACGTCAAGTATCTCCTCCACACATATCTTCTTGACAGGGTTCTTGTAAAGCAAGTCTTTCTCTTCTGCATTTTCAGAGCAGATTTTTCAAAATGAGCTGAAATGGAACAATTATGGACTATCTAAAGAAAAAAAAAACCCTCTGAAGAGCCACAATCATCTAAAGAAAAAAAACTCTGAAGAGCCATAATCGTACTTTGCTCCAGTTCCCCATGACCATCTCTAAGCCACTTTCCAGAATAAATGCTGCTTCGCTCCAGTTACTTGCTATGAGATGATTCATGGACACCAACACTGCCAACGCCTACATCTCTTCCACTTTCAGGTCTCTCGCACTCATCCAGTAGCTCTTGTACTTGCTCTTCAACTGAAGTGATTTCACCGCTTGGGAAAATGACCATTAACTCAAGGTGGTAAAAAGCTATTTCTTGGGCGTCATTAGCAA